GGGGCTGCAAGAACCAGGGAGTCTCATCCTTTTTGAGCACCGGGGTCAGTCACAAAGACGATCAGTCACTTTGGACAAGCAGCTCCCTCCTGCCAGCCCAGGACACACTCACACTCTCCCTCCCCGCCCAGGCTAGAGAAGGAACAGAACCCAGGAGTCTGGACTTCTCCTGGGAAACCATTCCCCACTTTAAAGTCCCTAGGCATAGCAAGGCCAGGACCCCCTCGTTTCCCATTGATTTCCATGCTCAGCAGCTCACAGGGTCTGGCCCAGCTCAAAGACGCTCAGCCTGGGGAACAGTCTCCCACAAGGGAAGGGCTGGGAGCCCCATTGCTGGGACCTTGCAAAACACACTGGAGATGGCTCTGGAGAAGCCCCTCCCTGGTCTGAGAGCGAGGGGCTCCTGGGGGCGGTTTTCAAATCCAATCGCCTTTGGGAGAGATTCTCTCCCCCTCTTTCTGCCTCTCCCCAGACAGACAGGGAACGCCACAGAGGAACCCTAATGCTACTCACTTGCTCTGGTGATGGAGCGATGGATGAAGAAAGTTCAATGTCATCCTTCGCCCTCTTCCTCACTCTCCAAGCCCAAGGCAGGCTGGAGAGCGGGGTGGTGACCTGAGGAGTTACCCTGCCCAGCCAGCAGGCAGAGTGATGACACTGGGCGATTGGCTGGCTGTGAAAACAAGAGTCTGTCGTATTGCCAAGGGATGGAGAAACTCGGCCAGCAGCTGGGGGTGCAGAACACAGCCCTAGTGTGGGGGTGACAGCCCCTCCGGGATCCTGACATCCCAGCACTTTACACACCTTCCTGGAGTCTCCCAACCCCGCTGGGCTGTCGGGACTGCGACCCCAACCCTACTGATGAGAACCAGGCCTGGGGAGGGGAAGCTACTGGCTCAGGGTCACACCAAGTGTCAGAAGTATGGAGGGACCCAGCAGTCCTTCTTTCCAGGCCCCTTCACTAACCACTGCTTCACACTCTCTCCCACGGCTGGCAATTACAAGCAGGCCCTCATGTCCGCTCCCCCTGCCTCTGAGACGGAGTGTGCTCCACTGGAGTGACTGGACCAGGGGTGGGAGTCAGGACTCCTGAGTTCCATTGCTGGGTTTCCTATTGGTTCCATTGCTGGTTGTTTTCCTTTTCCTGTGGGACTTTGCGCAAGTTGCTCCCCACTCTAGGGCGTTTTGAATTCCAATCCTGTGCTCCGAAGTGCTTGGTGTCATTTGCAAATTTTAGAAGCATACTCTCCACTCCATTTTCCAAATCATTAATGAAAATATTGAATAGTACCAGACCCCGGACTGATCCCTGCCGGACCCACTCAGTACACCCTCTCCGTTGGACAGCCAAACATGGAGAAGGGCTCTTGGAGTCTGGGCTTTCAACCAGCTCTGCACCCACATTACACTAATTGCATCTAGGCCACATTTCCCTCGTTTGCTTGTGAGAATGTCCTACGGGACTGTGTCAAAAGCCTTAGTAACACCAAGATAGATCACATCTACTGTTTACCCACCTCCACTAGGCCCGGAACCCTGCCAAAGAAGGAAATAGGATTGGTTTGGAATGATTTACATGGTTCTTAACAAATTCATGCTCACTAGTCCTAAGAACCAAATTATCCTGTAGGTGCTGCTGACAAACTGATTGTTTAATAATGTATTCCAGTATCTCTCCAGCTATGGAAGTGAGGCTAGCTAGTCTGTAAGTCCCAGGATTCTCTTTGTTCCCCTTTTAAAGATAGGTCCTGTCTTGTTCATGGATGGGAAGATGTTCTTTTTCAGGGATCTCAGATGAGAACTGGGGCACAGCAACGGATTTTTTAAGGCCTCAAAAATGGAGGCAGGAACCTCTTCTCTCCTGCTGGCAAGAACCCCAGGTACCTAAAAGACAGGGACTCACATCCCTGAATGGGCTTTAAAAAAGGCAATGGTTAAAAAGTTTGACCCTGACCATTTCTTGTTTCCGCAGACTAGACATTTTAGCAAACTTTAGAATTCCTTGGTGCTAAACACCGAGAAATTCCCCTAGCTCACTCAGGCTCATGACTGCCCAGAGTTCAAGAATTGTCCCTGTTCCCATTGGAAAGATGGGGAGGAGCCTGAGGTACAGAGAAGGGAAGTGACCTACCCAAGGTCCTACACAGCAAGGCAGTGGCAGAGCCAGAAAGAGAAGCCACCAGTCCTGACTTCTGTTCTAACAGACAGCAAACCCCCCCAGAGGCAGGGATCGAGCCCAGGAATCGAGAAGGTGGGGAAATGTCATTGAAACCATTTCAGTCAGAAAATCCTATTCAGACTAAACCAGTTTGTTTCCTGAAATCATAACAAATAGGATGAAACTTCTTTGCAAAAATATTTTGTTGCAAAACAAAAGCATCTCCTGTTTGTCACAGTGTGTTAAATTGTCTCATCGCACACAAAGAGGAGACACTTAGATCTCAAAAATTAGACAAGATGCTTCAGTCTGAGCTAAGTCGTTGCTGCTCTTAACAATTTCAAAATAAAAAAATACAAATAAAATAGAATATTTCAGCTATTCTATTATGTCATAATCTGATCGGAGTAAATGTGATAGGACACCTCATATTATGCACTACTCCTAGTGACACTCTCCGATGGATCCCTATCCTCCACCCACCATGAGGTAAGTAGGAGCGGATCATTTTTTTCCCTACTTGAAAGAGGGAGAAGCTAAGGCTGAGAAAGGAGGATTGATTTGTCTTAGGTCACACAGCAAGCCAGTGGTAGAGTTGGGAATAGGACGCAAGAGCCCTGATTTTCAAACTAACCATCGGATCCTGAATTTCATACATTGAATGACCTGAGTAAAGTGCTCTCAGATGAGCTCCAGACCAACAGTGCACAATAATTATTCAGCAAGTATTTTAGGAGAACTGAAATGTTAGAGAGAATCATGAACTGCTCACAGACCATTAATACAGAGAAGCAGCAAAATTTGTCAAACATATGACTGGTTATGACTTATTTACTTGGTCTTAAAAGAGAACAAGGACCTGAGTCTCCTCCCTGTCAATAACCCCCTGCTCAGCCAATCAGGGTAGAGAATGAGGACGGGAGGCTGAGGGTTCTCACCAGAGAGCCCAAAGGATGGCCCAGCTCACTGGTGGGGATCACTGCCCGAGCACTATTTCAGCCCCACATTTTTGGGTGGACCTCCCACAGTGGGAGCTGCAGAGTACTCCCCCATGACACACACACACACACACTTCCTGGTGTTGGGAGGGGAACAGGAGAAAGGACAAAAGAAGCAAGAGAAGAAGAGAAAGGAGGGAGGGATGGAGGAAAAGGTAAAACAAAAAGGACAAACCCTAATGTCCCCAGTGATTCTAAGGGACAAAATCCCAGGTGCAGAATAAAATTCTGCCTCCTTAAACTCGTGTTTTCCATGCCTAGAATTCAACTGTCACCAGATGGCTCAGACTGAACAGGTTTCAAACCTCGAGGAGGCTCTTACCTTCTAAACAGGGACTGCTGTTTTCTAGTAAAATCAGGAAAAGGAAAGAAGAAAACTCAAAAGAGGTTCCTCCTCACGCTTACGTATGTGAACCCGAATACTCTCTCAGTCATCAAAGAGAGACCTTGAGAAGGAGACTTGCTGAAGCAAAGCCACGGGGGTCTCAGAGGTTTCCATGGCCCCTCACCCCTGTCCTGTCTGGCTGATGTCAGCATCTCTCTGTGAGGTCATCACCTCCCCACCGCCTTTGACCAATAGTCTGAGGTCCTGCAAAAGGCCTTTGTGATGTCACTGCCACACCCCTCCCCTGCTGTGCTAATGTCCTGCCCCTGGCCAGGCACTTTGGAGGTTTGAGCTACTCCATGTGGATGACCCCACTCAAGGAGCATTCATTCTAGGAAGCAAGCTGGCTAGACAGTAAAACATCAGATGCTGTTCCCAATGCTACACTCAGTTTTTCAGAAATTGGTCAACTTTATGGCCAGAAGAGACCATTAGAGCATCTAATCTGACCCCCTGCATATCACAGGCCTCCTGTATGACACAATAGTTACTTTTGTGGCAAACACATTCCAGAAAGGCATCTAGTCTTCATTAAATGACATCAGGAGATGGGGAATCCACCACTTTCCTTGATAGCTTGTTCCTGTGGTGAATCATCCTCGCTGTTGACTATTTGTGCCTTATTTGTAATATGAATCCTTGGTCTGGCTCCCAGCCCCTCTCCAAGGGTTGCAGCTGTCTGGAGGTGCCTGCCTTCCACGCCTTCCTCATTCACACCTCATTCATTCAACAGTGCAATTGATTACAAAGTGGGGGAAAGATCTTATTCTACTTCTAGCAAAAAGACATTTTTCTTTTACCTTAATTATACTACCTTAGGGGCCCGCTATAACATATTACCAAGGTTCAATACAAAGTCATATACAAGTTATACAAAAATGCATAATGCAGAGATTTATCTACAACTGCATTGATTGACTGCTGTGTGCAGCAATATAGTGACCCCTGGGTCTTTGAATGAGACTTTATACTTAGGGGGAGGAGAGGGGCAAGTCGGGGGGGGCAAGGGGTGAATCGGAGGCAGGCGGGTGGGCAAAGAGGTGAGCAGTGAGCCAGCAGGGGTTCTAGGAGCGGGCATGGGGGTTTCTGGAAGGGGAGGGAGGAGGTGAAAAGAGGTGAGTGGTGGGTGGCGGACTGACTAGGAGGGACGCAGCAAGCCAGCGGGGGTAGGGGGTGAAGAGGGGTGTGATGGTGGGGCTGAGCGGGGAGGGGGCGGGTCCTATTTTACTGCTGTGATCTGGTCACCCTATGCGTGCCATTTCTTTCCCCCTCTACAGGCTTCCACACACTGTCAGTGCCTTGCTAGTGTGCCATGCACCATGAGAGAGCTCTTCTCTTTGCATGTGACTGTGAGTGTTTCCCTTGTATGTGAATTTATTCAACAAAATCTTGAGCTTCGTAATGGATACCATGAGTGAAAAGAAAAAGAAAATCAGAGCACAGCGTTTTCAACACTGAATGGACGAATAAATACTTACATATTGAGAACGATACAAGAATCTTACCGAAGTTGCACTGAAAACGTTCAGCATTTTTGGAAGCACTTACATATGTGAACATTTTCCATCACGAACATGAATAAAAACAAGCAATGTTCTTCTCTGACTGACGACCATTTGGAAAACATTATGAAAATATCCACTTCAAATATGACCCCCAAATACGACGACCTTGTTGCCGAAAAGAGATGTACTATCTCTCATTAAATTTGCATGTAATTATGAAAAGTTTTCTTTCAACGAAACAGGTGTTTTTCATTTTTACATGATTCATAAAAAAAATTAAAAAATCGTTTGCTTTAATTGAAAAATTCTTAATAAAGTATCACACACACACCCCAACCTTCCTTTTCGGCCCACAACTGTTTCAGTGGGGCGGTGCTCCGGAAGGAGGGTTTGTTTCTGTAGGGCTGGGCAGTGCTGGGGGGAGTTTTTCCACAGAGCTGGGCAGCACTGGCGGGGGGGAGGTGTTTCCACAGGGACGGGCGGTTTGGGTCCTCAGTTGTTTTCTTTGGAGCAATATGTCCCTTGCCGCTTTACGAGCTGTGCAGGCCTGATGTATTGGGTGTCTCTCCTGTGTGCATTCTCTGATGTCTGATAAGGTCTGAGCTCCGACTGAAGCTTTTCCTGCACTCAGAGCATGTGTAGTGCGTTGCTCCTGTGTGGATTCTCTGATGTGTGTTAAGGGTAGACCTCTGACTGAAGCTTTTCCCACACTCAGAGCATGCGTAGGGCTTCTCCCCTGTGTGGATTCTCTGATGTCTGATCAGGTATGAGCTCCAACTGAAGCTTTTCCCGCACTCAGAGCATGTGCAGGGCGTCTCTCCTGTGTGGATTCTATGATGTGTGATAAGGTGTGAGTGCCGATTGAAGCTTTTCCCACACTCAGAGCATGTGTAGAGCTTTTCCCCTGTGTGGATTCTCTGATGTCTGATAAGCTTTGAGCTCCTATTGAACCTTTTCCCACACTCAGAGCACGTGTAGGGCGTCTCACCTGTGTGGATTCTACAATGTCTGATAAGGTGTGAGCAGTCATTGAAGCTTTTCCCGCACTCAGAGCATGTGTAGGGCATCTCACCTGTGTGGATTCTACGATGTGTCATAAGGTTTGAGCGCTGATTGAAGCTTTTACCACACTCAGAGCATGTGTAGGGCGTCTCTCCTATGTGGATTCTCTGATGTGTGATAAGGTCTGAGTTCCGACTGAAGCTTTTCCTGCACTCAGAGCATGTGTAGGGCATCTCTCCTATGTGAATTTTCTGATGTCTGATAAGGTTTGAGCTCCTATTGAACCTTTTCCCACACTCAGAGCATGTGTAGGGCATCTCCCCTGCGTGGATTGTCTGATGTGTGATAAGGGCAGAGCTCCGATTGAAGCTTTTCCTGCATTCATGGCACGTGTAGCGTGTCTCTTCCAAGTTGATTCTGTCACATGTTATAAAGTCTGAGTGGCTACTGAAGTTTTCCTCTCGCCTCTCTTGAGTGTCACAAGAATTGGCTTTTTCTTGGAGTGCACAACTTCTGGAAACATTCCCTTTGGATCTTCCTGATAACGTTCCATGTGGTTCTACTTGCTCAGCATCTTCCTGCTGGGGTTTCTGCTCCTCATTCTCACTCACCATCCCATCACCTGATGGGAGACAGAGAGAATCCAGAATTAGGTCACTCCCTGCGCCAGAAAGAAAGGAAATTTCAGAGAGAGGAATGGAAAAAGGGATGAACAAAACAAAATATGGGTGGGAGCGATCAAACCTATCAGGAGCTGATTTTCCCCAAACCCTTCCACAGAGGAGAGAGGAAGGGATCAGTCTTGGTCCGCATCTCACCAGAACACTCAGGGGAAAGCGAGATCAGGAAGGGACCTGCTGCCAGTTGTCAGTCAGAATAGGAGGGAAGCCATGAGTGACATCTGCCATAATGATTACACATCTGCATGGAACAATCTGGAACTTGGAGAGCTCACAGGGTCTTTATAGGGCATCCCAAATGTTTCCTGCATTCCCAAACTGTTGGTTTAACCAATTCCTCACCTGTGAAGGCAGCTCTCAGGAGCACTTCTTTCTCAGAGCTCTGGAGGTCCAGGACCCATGGCTCTTTCCCTCGTTTCAGTTGCGGGATCACATCAGGTTTGGAAATTGGAAACCCTACTCCAGGCAAACAAAACAAGGGACGTCAGTGGAATTTGTGGGATACTTGTCACAAAGAATATTCCATGGTTTTAACCCCAGCTCATTTTAAAGCAGTAACATCCCAAGGCCATCTTCCTTGGCTCAAAGTGGCAGGAGAGTTATTATTATTATAATAAATCATATGCATTACCTTAGTGCCTAAGGACCAACTAACAGTGGGTCCCCATTGTGTTAGGCAAAGTACAAAAAATAATAGATGGCCCATGCCCTGAAGAATTTACAATCTAAATAGACAAGACAGACACAGAATGGGGGAAGGAGTAGAACCCACTGTTAGAATGGAGATATTCAGGCCTGCCTGTAAAGCCTATACTTTAAGAACTTAGGTGTATTTCTATCACTTAGCTAGTTACAGGGGTATAAAAACAAAGAATCAAAATCACAGTCTGCCTGTGTCTGGGCCTTGTCTCACTAGGATAGTCTGAGGCCTTGTTCTTAGGCTAAGGCCTTTGGCTAAGCAGCAGGAGCAGCCATAAGCTGGGAAGCGAAGGGACAAATCCTCACATCTCAAACCAGTCAGATTGAAATAAGGTGGTATTGGGCTGTTAGGAGGACAATCCTGTCCGTACAGCGCCCATTACCACCAGATAAAGAAACAGATCTTAAGATGGTTAAAGAAAACTTAGTTTGATAGCATCCTGTCTGGCAAGAAAGCACTTATCAGTGGTTGTGGTTGTGAAATTCATTTCTGTATTGTTTTATCTTTATGGCCATCACTTTTCATTGTTAATCAGCTGGTTCTCTAATTGTTTCTGTCTGCTGTAAAATTAATTTTGCTAGGCGTAAGTTAATTAGGGTAGTGGGATATAATTGGTTAGAGAATTATGTTACAATATGTTAGAATTGGTTAGTTACAATGATTGGTTAAGGTATAGCTGAGAATATTACTCTATAAACGGAGTCAAACGGGAGGGGGAAAAGGAAATTGGAATTATAGAATATCAGGGTTGGAAGGGACCTCAGGAGGTCATCTAGCCCAACCCCCTGCTCAAAGCAGGACCAATCTGCAACTAAATCATCCCAGCCAGGGCTTTGTTAAGCCTGACCTTAAAAACCTCTAAGGAAGGAGGCTCCACCACCTCCCTAGATAACCCATTCCAGTGCTTCACCACCCTCCTAGTGAAATAGTGTTTCCTAATATCCAATCTAAACCTCCCCCACTGCAACTTGAGACCATTACTCCTTGTTCTGTCATCAGGTACCATTGAGAACAGTCTAGATCCACCCTCTTTGGAACCCCCCTTCAGGTAGTTGAAAGCAGCTATCAAATCCCCCCTCATTCTTCTCTTCTGCAGACTAAATAATCCCAGTTCCCTCAGCTTCAGAAGTCATGTGTTCCAGGCTGTGACGAACTGGGCCTGTTCTCACTGTGGTCTGTGAATGCTGACAGGGGAGTGTGGCTGGGATAGTCTGCATTGGAGGATGGGATCTGCCCGAGGGCGCATACCTGAGTGTGTAACATGAGAACCCAGGAAGGGGTTGAAGGCCAGGTGACTCCTGAGCCCGGGAAACTGAACAAAGGCTGTGGGAGGGGTCGCTGAAGGAGAGTCTTGGGAAGCTGGGTGGTGAGATGGTGGGGAGGCAGAGATTGCTCTGACCTCCCAAGGGGGGCTGGGATGCCCTGGGACCCCAAGATGGACCTAACTGAGGGGGTCCCTGCTGTCTGTGCCTGCAAGACCTGTCTTGGACTGTATTCCTGTCATCCAAATAAACCTTCTGCTTTACTGGCTGGCTGAGAGACATGGTGAATCGCAGGAAGCCGGGGGTGCAGGGCCCTGAGTCCCCCAATACTCCGTGACACAGGCCCCTAATCATTTTTGTTGCCCTCCACTGGACACTTTCTAATTTTTCCACATCCTTCTTGTAGTGTGGGTCCCCAAACTGGACACAGTTCTCCAGATGAGGCCCCACCAATATTGAATGTTTGTTAAGGGGGGGAACCAGAACAGGGATACAGGCAAGGCTCTGCGGCATCAGAGCGGGGAAGGGGGACATGGGGTAAATGCTCTGCGTCATCAGAGCTGGGAAACACTGGGGAACAGACTGGATCGGCATATCGAGATAAGCCCAACTGGTGTGAAGGCCTTCGGAATACATAATCTTATAGGTGTAAAAATTGTACAGGCTATACTACCACCCTGTGACATCATCAATAAAGTGCCCATTTGTGCCCGGGTAGCGGCCCTGCTATGGGAGGGAGGAATGCAGCACGGATTCAGGGTCGGTGGCCAGGGTCGCTGTGCATAGAGATGGGGAAGTTATATGGGGAGGGGGTAATGAATGGGAGATGGAGGTCAAGAGTTGAAATAATAATATTTAGGGGGAAAATGTATAATGAAGTGAAACTGAACAGAAATAGTACTGGAGTGTAGGCTCTAAAGTAACAAGGCTTCGGTAGGGATTCGGGGTTAAAGGTCTGTGATGCCCCGCAGCTCTAGATCCCCAAACCTCTCCTCCCTCCCACTGACCCACCCAGCCCACTACCTGGGGTGCCCTTACTCCACACTCCTCTCCCCTTCTTCCCATTACTCTCAGTCGTTACCACCTCCCGTTACCTTGGCAGCTTCTTGTATTCTCTCCTTGTCTCTCACTACCTCATCCCTCCCTGATGGTTCTTAGTTCTAACCCTGCATACACCCTCCCCATATTCTGGCACCCCAGAATTATCTCCTCCCCCCTTCTTCTCCCCTCCCACAGCTCTGTTCTCCCTTCACCCGTGGGTTCCTGAATAGCAACATTATACGCTCTCCTTTCAAAGGAGCTCATCTGACTGTCACACAAGCCATGCATGAGTCATACACCTATTTACTCAATTTAGAATTCTACAGGCAGCATATTTTCCTCTCTCCCCCACCTAGAGTTGATGAACATTCCTGGCAGGAGGGTCACATGCTCCTACAACTCAAAAGGAAAGAAGTTGATAGAAAAGTTCACAGGACTGACCCCAAAGAAGGGCGAGCAGCAAAAGGCAGAATCAGGCAACTCATCTGGGGTGCGGAGAGACCACGGTGAAGATGGTGCAAAGATCACTATGTGAGAATTAGCAAATGTGATTAAAAAAAAAATCTTTGGCCAGCCCTAGTCAAGGCATTTATTATAGTTCTCTCTCATGTGGATTTTCTGATGTTTAATAAGGCTTGAGCTCTGATTGAAGTTTTTCCCACACTCAGAGCATCCATAAGGTTTCTCATCCATGTGGATTCTCTGATCTGTGGTAAGGTATTAGCTATAACCGAAGCTTTTCCCACACTCAGAGCATGTGTAGGGCGTCTCTTCTGCGTGGATTTGCTGATGTGAGATGAAGGTTGAGCTATAACTGAAGCATTTCCCACACTCAGAGCATGTGCAGAGTTTCTCTCCTGTGTGGATTCTGCAATGTGAGATAAGGACTGAGTGCCGACTAAAGCTTTTCCCACACTCAGATCACATATAGGGCATCTCTTCTGTATGAATTCTCTGATGTACGACGAGCTTTGAACTATCAATGAAGCATTTCCCAAACTCAGAGCATGTGTAGGGCTTTTCTCCTATGTGGATCTTCTGATGTATAATAAGGCTTGAGCTCTGATTGAAGCTTTTCCCAAACTCAGAGCATCCATAAGGTTTCTCACCTGTGTGCATTCTCCGATGTCTGACAAGGTGTGAGCTCTGATTGAAGCGTTTCCCGCACTCAAAGCACGTGTAGGGTTTCTCTCCTGTGTGAATTCTCCTATGTCTGATAACGTAGGAGTGCAGACTAAAGCTTTTCCCGCATTCCTGGCATCCATAAGGTTTCTCACCCGTGTGGATTCTCCTATGTCTGATAAGATTTGAGCTCTTACTGAAGTGTTTCCCACACTCAGAGCATCTGTAAGGTTTCTCACCCGGGTGGATTCTCTGATGTGTGAGAAGCGCAGAGCTCTGATTGAAGCTTTTCCCGCACTCATGGCATGTGTAGTGTGTCTCTTCCAAGTTGATTCTCTTGTGTGTAATAAGGTCTGAGTGGCTACTGAAGTTTTCTGCTGGCCTGCGCTGACTCTCACAGGCTTTTGGTTTTTCTGGGAGTGCACAACTCCTGGAATCATTCCCTTTCAATCTTCCTGATAACATCCCATGGGGTAATACTTGCTCAGTATCTTCCTGGTGGGTTTTCTCCTCGTTCTCACTCACCATCCCAACACCTGATGGGAGACAGAGAGAATCCAGACATAGGTCACTGCCTGCACCGGAGAGAAAGGAAATCTCAGAGAGGGGAACGGAAAAAGGGATGAACAAACCAAAATATGTGCAGGAGAGATCAAACCTATCAGGAGCTGATTATCCCCAAACCTTTCCCCAGAGGACAGAGAGGAAGGGATCAGTTCTGGGTCCTCATTCACCATAACTCTCAGGGGAAAGTGAGATAGGGGAAGGACCTGCTGCCAGTTGTCAGTCAGGGTAGAGGGGAGCCATGAGTGACATCTGCCTAATGATTCCACATCTGCAGGGAACAATCTTGAACTTGGAGAGCTCACAAGGTCTTTGTAGGGCATCCCAAATGTTTCCTGTATTCACGGACAGTTTTTGACTTGGTTTAACCAATTCCTCACCTGTGCAGGCAGCTCTCAGGAGCACTTTTTTCTCAGCGCCATGGAGGTCTGGGACCCACGGCTCTTCCCCTCGTTCCAGCTGCGAGATCACATCAGGTTTGGAAACTGGAAACCCTACCCCAGGCAAAGAAAACAAGGGAGGTCAGTGGAATGTGTGGGATACTTGTCACAAAGAATAGTCCATGGTTTTAACCCCAGTTCAGTGGGGGAGGGATAGCTCAGTGGTTTGAGCATTGGCCTGCTAAACCCAGGGTTCAATCCTTGAGGGGGCCTCTTAGGGATCTGGGGCAAAATCAGTACCTGGTCCTGCTAGTGAAGGGAGGGGACTGGACTCAATGATCTTCCAGCTGTATGAGATAGGTATATCTCCATTTGTTTTTTTAAGCAGTAACATCCCAAGGACAGCTTCCTTGGCTCAAAGTGGCAGGAGAGTTATTATTATTATAAATCATAAGCATTACCATAGTGCCTAAGGGCCAACTAACAGTAGGTCCCCATTGTGCTAGGCAAGGTATAAACCGAGAATAGTAGATGCCCCATGCCCTGAAGAATTTACAGTCTAAATAGACAAGACAGACACAGAATGGGGGAAGGGGTAGAACCCACCAGCAGAGTGAACTATGTGAAGGCAGAGTGACAGATCTGATGAACACAGGCATACATCTTGAGATTGTCATATTTAATGTTATGACTAGGGCCATTGTTTTCCAGAAATTGCTCCTATTACTGCATTTTTTCCCCAAAACTATTCTTCATTTCTGGAATCACCCTTCATATCTGGAATTTCTGATCAGAGGGTGGGTGGGGCATGCAGGGTCGCAACCCCCCAGATTTCTGCCCAGAGACACCTGACTCCTCCGCAGAGTGTAGGGCAGAGGCTCGCTGCGGTTGAGACTTGCTGCCAATTTCTTCCCTCCTCATAGAAGTCTGGGCTCAGCAAAACCACCGTGGAGCTTCCCCTGGGTAGGAGGGGCACCTGGCAGTGGGACATCAGGCTCCCTCATCATGCTGAGGAGCGGACGGCGCTCGCACCAGCTCTCGGCTGTGTCCACAGCACCTCTCCCCTGCACACAGCTGGTTCATGCCCAGTATCCCCAGCACACAGCTGGCTCTAGGCTCTTAATGCACAGTGTCTGGGCCCCACCTCCCTCACACAGCTGGCTCCTGTCCCCTTCCCCCAATGCACTTTCATGTTGTAAAGGATTATATATTTCTCATATTTGTCAATTACTCTGTTTTCTTTGCCAGCAAACACTGGTCCTAGTTATGACTGTTATCTGTATATTTGAGCCAGCCCTTGAAAGCATGAATACTTCACCGACTATGATGCTGAGATGGGCCAGATGATACCGGGAAGGGTTGAGGGATGGATTTCCTGTGCAATCTGGTCTCACTAAGGGGTGATGAATGCCAGATCCTAAAGCTGGTTATGCAGATCTCCGTCTTTTGAAGCTTTGCCCCATGAAGAACGGGACAGGGACTGATTTTACCTCTTTGAGAAAACTGAAGACAGACTTTTTGGGGAGAAACAGCTGAGTTTGAACTGACTGAGGGGGGTCTTTTGGGGCTACAAACTGACATGACCTGATAACTAAGAGGTAAGCTTTTAAGGAAGGCTTTAATACACTTCGGAAACAATCAGTGATTCCCAAGAGGACTGATGAAGGGGCAATGGCAAATATGCATTTAGATGGACTCGCTCCTCCGGCCGCGGCGACTGGGATGCAGGCCACATGCCACGCCCCCCTGCTCCTCCAGACGCTTTTGGAAAGGCGGGGGAAGCGGCTGCTTCCCCTGCACCCCGCTACCTACGCTACTGGTGTCATCATCTCTTCGCCTCATTCCCCAGACAAGAGAACTCCTGGAAGCACCTGAGGAACAAAGACTGAACTAGGGGAAGTGTTGGTCCCAGGGTAAAGGGATTTCTAACTTGTGTATGGAAACTTGGTGGACTGCTTCTATCATCAGTCAGGGTGAGAAATTGCTAATTCAAATTCTACCCATCTAGTATGTTAGGCTTGGTTTGAGTTTTTGGTTATTTATCTGCTTTGATCTGTTTGTTACCACTTAACGCTGGGAAACTGGCTGTTGTCTTCTATCTGTCCTTGAGTGGCTTAGGTAAAGCACTCGGGTAGCTTAGTTGGATGCATGGCGCCACCTGCTGTCCTGTTGGGTGATAACAAGACTAAATCTCCAGCAAAGCAGTGTGAAAAGGGCCAGCCGAGCTTGAGGATTAGAGGGCACAGCAGTTCCCAGAAGCCCCCCAGTCTGCACCCTGGGGTGACAACCCATCACACCCTATATTACACAAGTCTCAGCAGGTTTGTCACATCCCGTCCCCTCCCTTTCTCCACCCGAGATATTTCCTGCCTCCCACCACCTTTAGCAGCTCCCACCGTCCTATGCATTTACCGCTCCTCTCCCTCCAAGCAGAACCCACCACTGGCTCCCTGATAATCCCTTACCTGAGCCAGCTCCATTGCAGCCATTTCCTTCCCCTTGGGAGGATGGGATGATCTGGAGCAAAACGTGGATGTTATTCTGTAGCCTGCCAGGGCGAGAAGGGCAATTTGAGAGAATTCATACGGGGTTTTTGTCCATTTCACATGTCGATTCCCCCCAGGATTTTCCCCTGCTAATGGACATTCTAGGTTCTGCCATACTGTGAAGCACAGAGTGACCTTATTCCAGTACAGGCCTAGCCACCTCCCACCAGGGTGTAACCCTCTGAGACATGGTGAAACCCTCCCAGTAGCAGAGTCTCTCTGTTACACTTATCAAGTTTGCGGATGATACCAAACTGGGAGGGGCTGCAACTGCTTTGGAGGATAGAATTGAAATTCAAAATGATCTGGACAAACTGGAGAAATGGTCTGAAGTATATAGGATGAAATTCAATAAGGACAAATCAAAGTACTTCACTTAGGAAGGAACAATCAGTTGCAGACATACAAAATGGGAAATGACTGCCTAGGAAGGAGTGCTGCGGAAAGGGATCTGGGGGTCATAGTGGATAACAAGCTAAATATGAGTCAACAGTGTTACACTATTGCAAAAAAAGCAAGTATAATTCTGGGATGTCTTAGCAGGAGTATTATAAGCAAGACACAAGAAGTAATTCTTCCACTCTACTCCGCGCTGATTAGGTCTCAACTGGAATAGTGGGTCCAGTTCTGGGCACCACATTTCAGGAAAGATGTGGACAAATTGGAGAAAGTCCAGAGAAGAGCAACAAAAATGATTAAAGGTCTAGAAAACATGACTGTGACAGGGCAGCCCCGCCCTGCATTAGCCCCGGCAGCATCAGACCAGTAGCTCTGGTGGCAGAAGTCCCACCCTGCTCGTACTGGGCATGCTCCAAATGCTCTGGGCATATAAAAGGAGGGAACTCAGCTCAGTCTGGGCTTGTGGCTGCAGGGGAAGTACCTAACTGGGAAGCTCCTCTGGAGGACCAGCCACCACCCTTGACGTTGCTGGGAACTGAAGCTTCCCCTGGCTAGCATGAACCCCTACTGCGGGAGGAGCCTGAGGGGGCGATGGACCCAGAGACCCATGGAGATTCTGGAGATTCATGGGAGACCCCAACTCTCAAGATGGTAGGAAGCTACCCGGGAGGGGTGACGGACTGGTACCTTGCCGCTGGTAAGCCTCAGCATGTTTTAGTAGGATCTCCCCGCTGAGCCAGTGGCAAGGCCCTACAGCAATGTAACCAGGGGCAACTCTATGGACTCCGGCCACTAGGCCGTGCTACCCTGTAACCAGGGGCAACTCTATGGACTCCAGCCACTAGGCCGTGCTACCCTGTAACAGGGGCAACTCTATGGACTCCAGCCACTAGGCCGTGCTGCCCTGTAACCAGGGGCCTGTTGAAAGGTCCAGCATAAGGAAGTTAAACCGGGGGAACCCTGCCAAGCCTCATGACGGAGACGGAGAAGGTCCTAAAGTGGATGCTGGAAAAGCAGCAGGAGCAGGCAGCCCAACAGCAGCAGCAGGTGGTGCAGATGATGCAGCAGATGGCCAGCCAGCAGCAGCTGCTGAGAACCCAGCACCAAAAGCACCAGCAGCAGCTCCTCCAGGAATTAGCAGTTCAGCAGCAGACACAACAAGAGCGCGTGGTGCAGCAGATGGCCACGTTGTTACGCCCAGCGGGAGCCGCAGCTGCCATACCTGCGGGGACCGGACCCAGGGAGATTTTGGGGGAACTGCTGGTATGCCTCACTAAGATGGGGCCAGAAGACGACCCAGAGGCTTTCTTAGTGACGTTCGAATGGGTAGCGACTGCTGCCAGGTGGCCCCCAGTACATTGGACCACCCTACTAGCCCCCTATCTGATAGGACAGACCCAGGCCACCTATCGTAGCCTCTATCCCCGGGAGGCCCTAGAGTACCCCAGAGTGAAGGCGGCCATATGGGACCATTCCGGTATTAGCCCAGAGACCTATCGTCAAAGCCTCTGCAAGGAACAGTACCCCGCTTGGGCCTGGCCCTGGGCAGTGGCCCAGTGCATCCGAGACCATTGTTGGAAATGGTTGAACCTCGAAGGCTTGACGGGGCCACAAGTAGCGGAGATGGTGGCACTGGAACAGTTCACTCAGATCCTGCCCCCGTGAGGAAGGGCCTGGGTACGTCGGCATCGACCAGCGACCTTGTCAGCGGTGGTGGCCATGATGGAGGACTACTTGTCCGCTGAGGGGGCCGAGGTGCCGACCTGGGTAGCAGGAAATTCCGGTTGAAAGGGTGGGCTAGGAAAAGGGAATCCCCAAGGGTCGGAACCACAGGAACCGTCGACAGGCGCCTGCTGCACACCTCCAAAACTCCCTGAACCCAGAGCCAAGGCCTCCCGGGCACCGATCTGAAGGGACCAACAACCCTGAGAGCAAGGGAGCCCCCTGGGCGGAGGCCCAGGACCCGCCGAGGCCCGAGGGGGGCTGGGAGTGCGGACAGGAAGGGCATTTTCATCAGGATTGCCCATTTATGGACTGCAACTATGGACAAGCCTGGGTCGCAGGATGAAGGGCCCAGAAGAGAGGAACAGGAAAGCTGGTGGTCCCTGTCCGGGTCGAGGGGACCTTCACGAATGCCCTCATGAACTCGGGGTGTAGTCAGACCCTCATATGGGAGGGGCTGGTCCCAGACCTCCATCTCTCAGGCCCCCTGATCCATTTACAATGTGTACATGGGGACATCCGCCTAACCCCGTGGCCTGGGTGAAGCTAGAAGTATGTTGCCAGGAGGAGGCCTCCAGGTGGGAGTGGCCCCCAGGTTAGCCTACCTGGTGGTACTGGGGCGAGACTGGCCAGGCTTCAGGGAGGTTCTCCAGAAGTACCAACTGCCAGACCCACGAATGGACGGGCTTAGGCCTCCGAGAGCGGGGCTGCTCGGACACATGCCAAGGATTGACCCTGGAGAAGGGACCTCGGCAACAGAGGAGACCGCCGCGACTCGTCCCACAGCCAGGCCCCGTTTGGTGGAAGATGTCCAGGCAGAACTGGAGCGGGACGTGGACTTTGTACAGGAGCAGAGGGAGGACCCGACCCTAAGTAGAGCCTGGGAACAAGCCACCACCGGACCCCAATGGAGACCCGAATCTGCGACCCCCACAGGGCCCCCGCTTTGAGATATGGTGGGATCACCTATATCGGATAGCCCAGGAACCCCAAACCCAGGAGATGTTCTGCCAGCTATTGGTTCCCTGGAGGCTGCGGCAAGGCCTCCTACAAACCCCTGGGCAGGACACCTAGGGCGGGAGAAGATCCTACAGAGGGTGGCTCGCCGGTTCTTCTAGCCGGGCATACCCCGAGAGGTTCGGGACTATTGCACGTCTTTCCCAGAATGCCAGCTGGCGGGACCGAAAGGGGTAGCCAAGGCACCCCTGGTACCCATGCCGGTAGTTGGTGTACCCTTCGAGCGGATTGGGCTGGACCTAGTCGGCCCCCTTGAAAGAAGCAAGACAAGGAATCGCTTCATCCTAGTGATCGTGGACTACGCGACACGCTACCCTGAAGCCGTTCCCCTAAAAAGGCGCCAGCGCCGGCAATTGCTAATGAACTAGTGAAGATTTTTGCTAGGGTCGGGATACCGGCGGAAATCCTGACAGACCAGGGCACGAATGTGTCCTCCAAACTGATACCCGAACTGTGTCACCTCCTCCACATATGAACGCTCCGGATGTCAGTTTTGGCCTTGTGGAATGTTTCAATGGCACCCTAAAATCTATGCTAAGAAAATTCATGGAGGAGGACCCTATGCATTGGGATACTCTGTTGCCAGCCCTGTTGTTCGCCATAAGGGCGGTACCCCAGGCCTCGACGGGGTTCTCACCCTTTGAACTCCTGTACGGGAGGCAGCCCATGGGGATCTTGGACCTCCTGAAGGAGGATTGGGAAGCCCAGGAGATGCGAGTTCTCGGGAGTTGGGCCAGTGGATTACGAGGTCCAACTACCGGGGCAACGGAGGGAGATGCCTAGCTACCATGTGACTCAGCCTGTCCACCCCAGAATCGGAACTCAGGCCCCTAGTAGGGGACCCACCAGACCCAAGACCGGTGAGGCTAGGGTCGGGCCTCACCTCCGTACAGCGAGAACAACTACAACAACTGGTGGAGGAATTCCCTGATGTCTTAGCCGCCCGCCCAGGATGAATGACTCTGAGTCATCACATCACCACCACCCCCGGTCAGAAGGTGAGAGACAACCACCGACCGTTGCCCCGGAAAATGTGGGATTCGGTCCGACAGGAGCTAGAGACAATGCTGGAGATGGGGATCGTGGAAGAATCGACGAGTGAGTGGCGCAGCCCCATCGTCCTAGCCCCAAAGCCAGATGGGACTACCCAGTTTTGCATTGACTTCCGAAAGGTCAATGCCATCTCCCACTTCGACGCATACCCGATACCGCGGGTGGACGAACTGCTGGAATGGCTCAGGGGAGCGAGGTACTTGTCAACCATAGATCTAACCAAGGGATACTGGCAGATCCCCCTCACACCAAACTCCTGGGAGAAGACAGCCTTTCCAACACCCTTCAGCCTCTTCCAATTTATAATCCTGCCATTCAGGCTACACGGAGCTGCTGCTACATTCCAGCGCTTGATGAATAAGGTCTTACAACCCCACGACCAGTATGCAGCAGCATATATAGATGACATCGTAGTCTACAGCAACAACTGGGAGGACCACCTATGCCATCTGGTGTGGGTGTTACAAGCCCTTAGAGCAGCCGGCCTCACAGCTAACCCAGCAAAGTGTCACCTTGGGCAAGAAGAGGTAACCTACCTTGGATATAGTGTGTGTGGGGGGGAACTGACACCCCAATCAGCAAAGTGCAAGCTCTCAAAGACTTTATACAATCTTTCCTGGGAGTGCCCCCTTTCATGGGCTGGGCCTAGTTTTAGCTTTTGACAAGCATGACCCCGGGGGCTCTGAGACTGGGCCTTCTTGCCTCAGCACACATGGTTTCTTTCTGTGGCTCCCCAGTGAGTCCAAATAAGTAGATACTCCTGATAGAGACTGTGAACATAAGAACGGCCCACTGCATCAGACCAGTGGTCCATCTAGCTCAGTGGCCAATGCCAGGTGCTTCAGAGGGAATGAACAGAACAGGTAATCATCAAGTGATCCATCCCCTGTCACCCATTCCCAGCTTCTGGCACACATTAGCTAAAGACACCATCCCTGCCCATCCTGCCTGTGACACTGGCAGATGCGGTGTTAGCTCTTGCAAAAGCCCCCATGTCTTAATTGAACATGGACAAACGCATAGCTGGAATCAGTCTGGCTTTCCTGTGTTAGTATTGTTAAAAAAGGTATTAGAATTATTAGAATATGTTTAGATTTTATTGAATGCTTT